TCCTTTTCTATACCTGGTTCAGAGAGCTTCAGACCAAGGAGAGACTTTGCAGACTTCCCTCCGGACCCCCCATCCCCCCGTGGGGCTGGGGTGGCCCCCTGCTCCCCGGGCCCCCGCGGATGTGTGTGCTGTTGTCCCCGTCCCCGTGCCGCCCCTCGGGTTTGTGTACCTCGTGCTTGTACATTTGCGCGCTGTAGCCAGTGTGTGCGACTGTTCTTTCCTGTGTTCTCACTAGAGCAGCTGCCTCCGTCGGTGTTAGGGAAACACGAATACCAATGGCCACCATTTCCTCTCCTTTTTTTCAAGGCGATTTGTTCCTTCCCCGGAGGCCGGGGCAGGGCCGGGCTGGGGGTGCCGTGGCACCGGGCACGGTCTGTGTAAATGGGGGGGACTCATCCACCCGCTGGGGCGGGGGCGACCTGGTGGGGGCTGACCCGAGGCTGGATCCTGGAGGGGCTCCTCCGGGTCAGGCAGCAGCCCCGGGGCCCCGTGTGCCACAGCTACTGGGAGGCACCGCCGCATTGCACGTGCACCAGCAGCACGTGGCAGCCGTGTCCTGGCAGCCCCCAGGCATGGGCTTGGGGGGGTTACGTGTCCAGGGGCAGCAGCGGCACCCCTTCCGTCTCTGGCCCTGGCCACCCCCCACATTGCTGCCAGTGGCCGTGGCTGGAGAGCAGGGGCCCAGCTACGTGGCAAGGGCGCGTAGCTCTGGAGGGGCCCTGCCTGGATCCCTGTTTCGTTGCTGGTCGCTCGGGGGCATCCCCCGTGCAGCAGGGACCTGCTGTTTGACACCTCTTCTCCTGGCCCGGGCAGCCCCCTGCTCCCACCCCCCAGCCTGGCACTCGCAGGGCCCGGGATCGTGGCCCTGGGGCCTGGGGCAAGCTGTGGGCCTGCCCTGGCAGCAGGGCTGGGACTGGGGGCAGGAGCCGGGCCGGGGGGGCCCTGTAGCATGGATGAGACCAGGACACATGGCTCCTGTCCCCGCCCCCCTGCACTATATGCACAGTAGCCCCACCCCCTGCGCACTATACAGATGACATCCCCACCCCCTGGGCACTATACAGCCAGTAGCCCCGCCCCCTGGGCACTATACCGATGATAGCCCTGCCCCTTGGGCACTATACAGGCAATAGCTCCACCCCCTGGGTGCTATACAGATGGTGACACACCCCAGCCCCGCCCCCCGGGCACGATCCAGGCGGCGACGCGTCCCCCGGCCCCCCGGGCACTATACTGCCTTTTCCTCCCTCCCCGCATAGTTTGTGCCATTTATGAGTCATGTACGGTACCAATAAAAGCGACTTTTTGGTTCGACGCTGCTCCGGGCTCTGATTTCCACGCGGTGCCCACGGGAAGCCCCCCACCCCCGCGCGGGCGCCGGCCCCTGGCTCGTGCCTGCAGCTCCGCTGCATCCGGGCACTGGCCCAACGGTCCCTGGGCCTGGTGCTGGTGCTGGGGCCGGAGCAGAGCGGCCGTGCCAGGGCCTGGCCCCAGGCCAGAGCCGCACCCCGGGCCGAGCGGGGTTGGTCACCCGGGCGCATTCCTCCTGCGCTTCCTTAGTGACGAGGCGCAGAAGCTGGGCCCGGGCCAGCAAACAGCGCGGCCGGGCCTGTCCGTGTCCAAGCCCCGGGGCCAGGGAGAGGGGCCGGGAGCGTAGGGGGTTGGGGAGCCCCGCACACTTGGACGCCCGCTCGACCGTGGAGAAAAACAGTCCTGGGTAAAGCTGCTGAGGAGTGGCTGAGACCCCGCTGACCCCTGGGCTGGCAGGGTTCGGGCTGTGGCCCCGGGGTAGGCCCAGCCCCACTTGCTTGGGCGTGCCCGTCATGCTGCCCAGCCTGCAAGGCAAACAGCCCGGCCCATCGCTCCCACCCGGGCACTGGGGCCATTCCCAGGGACCTTGCCCCGACGCGGCCCCCGGCCATGCCCAGCTGCAAAGTTTGTTGGCCAGCTTCTCCTCTGGGCAGACGGGGCGACGCTGCAGCCAGGTCTCTTGCCCCTTCCAGCCAGGGAGTCCTCGGTGCCCCCCATACAGGTCTGGTGGAGGGAGCCATGGGGGGTTGGGGCCTGATCCTGCACTGGCAGCAGGTGGGAAAGCAGGGCGCGGGCCCAGCCAGCGCCGGTTGGGGGGGGCCCAGGCGGCAGTTCTGGGAAGCAGCATCCGGCCCCGCTGCTCCCGGGAGACGCGGCATCCTGTCCAGCCTCGCAGGCGACGCCGCCCTGAGCTGGGGCTGTGCGGCCAGATCCTCAGCCCGGGCCTCGGTGGCCGCGTTGGGAGCGGGGCCGACGGCGGCTCTTGGGGCCTGGGGGCTGCTGTCTGCATTGCGGGCAGGATCGGGGCCGAGCAGCACTCATGCTTCAGGGCCTGAGGGGCTGCGGGGGTCAGGAAGGCCCCAGCTTGTGCGCCCCATGGCAGTAGCCACAGCCTAGGACAGGTAGGGGCACCTGCTCCAGCGCCTGCGGGTTGGGGACCCCTCTCAGCAGGCAAGGGGGGTCCACGGCTGGCTGCCGCATGCCCCCATCTTCCCAGGACAGTGGCGCGGAGGAGGGGCATCCTCAGCACCCGTCCCCACCCCCAGCTATTAAAACCTCCTTCCTGTCAGAGCCGGGCACAGAGCCCAGGAGCCCAGGCCCCCAGCCCCTTCACCCGCCTAGCCCCCTTGGTGTCCTAGAGCTGGGCGCCGAGTCCCCGGGGCCCGGCTCCCTGCTCCCCCCGCCCGGCCCCCGGGCGCTCCCAGAGCCAGCGAACCTGGGCGTCCGGGCCCCCGCCCCACCTGCTCGGCCCTGCGGCTCACCCTGCCCTCGGGCGCTGGGCTGGGACCCAGGCGTCCGGCCTTCCTGTGCGCTGTCTCCGGAGCCGCCGGGCCGAGCTCCCTGTCCCAGGTAAGTACCCGGGGGGCAAAGGCGAGCCCAGGGCAGCTGAGTGCCAAGCCCGGCTGGACGCTGGCAGGGGGATGCTGGGGGCACTGTGGCTGGGGTGGCGGGGCTGGGTGGGAAGGTGTTTGTCCCCTCCGGGGTGTAAGGGACATCCGTGTGTCCCCGCAGTGCAGCCGGGAGGGTCCGTCCGGCCACTCCCAGCCTGGCTGCAGGGTGCTCGGCTGGGGGTTGCATGGCGTCAAGCCCGGGCTGTGCCAGGCTGGGCGGGCGCTGACAGGGCCTCCAACCTGCACGAAACTTAAACAAACCATAAACCCTGGCACCGGCTTTGTTCTCCCCCAGCAGGAAACAGCAACAAGTGCTGGATTTTCTCCCCACGCTTCCTGCTAGGGCAGGGCAGGGCAGGGCAGGGCAGGGCACCGCACCCTTACTCACCTTGCCCAGCCAGGCATGGTCTGCGACTGACCCCACCGCTAGCTCAGCACCTGCCAGACCGCCGGCAGCATGGCCCTGCGCAACCTGTCGCAGCCGACGTATGAGCCGGCCCCCATGCCCCCGGCTGGCACCGCGCCCGGGCTGGACAGCATGGCACATGGCTTCCTGGGGCTGGTACAGCCCAACGCTTTCCCGGCTGGTAAGAGATACCTGCCCCCCACCGCAGATGCCCTGGGGATGGGCTTGGGGGTCAGCTCCCCCATGCCTCAGTTTCCCCACTGCTCCCTTTGGGCTCCCCCAACCTGCGCCCTGCCCTGTGCCCCCAGGGCCTCGGGACCCCAGACTCCTGGGTCCTGCCCTGCTGCACCGTGCCCCCATCTTGGCCTCTGGACCTGCTAGGTCTTCACTACAGGCCCCAGGCCAGGCTGGCATCTCCCTCCCGGGCCACGTCCGGATAGGCGACGCCGCGGGGACCCGAGGCCTTGCCCACCGGGGCCATTGTGCCTACAGGAGGGTCCCCCAGGGATGTCCATGGCCTCCTCTGCTGCCCCAGGGGACCCTCCCATCATCGGGGCCAGACTTGCTGCGGCCCCAGAACCGCGGCTCCTTTGTGTTGCCTGGAGCTTCCCCGTGCGGCGCTTCCTGCTGCCGTGGCTTCGCCTCCTGTTTGCTCTGGTTGGCAAACAAGCAGGCGCCGGCCTGGGCTGCGGGGCAGGGGCAGGGGCTGCAGAGCCCGGGGCAGTGGGGTCCTGGCGCTGGCTGGGCTGCGTGCCCCGGGGCGGGCAACCGGGGTCAAGGTCACAGCCTCGGGGTGGGAGTGCCACTGGGGTGCCCCCTGCCCCACCTCTGCCCCTTAGCCAGGCCGGGGTCAGAGGTCACGGCTGGGGGTCATTGCTCCGTGCAGCAGCCCAGGGTAGGGAAGGGGCTGGTGCGCCCAGGGCTCTGTGTGCAATCCCCCGGCTGGACCCCCACAGCCTGGGGGGGCTGTGCCAGGCTGGAGGCATGTGGGGCTTCTGGCTGTGCCCCCACGGCCACTGATGCCCCTTGTCCATTCCTCCTGCCAGAGCTCCTGTCCCGGCTGATCCATGAGCCAGCCCACATCATGGAGCCCGCCACGTACAAGCAGGTGCATGGCCCCCACCCCTGTGCTCTGCCCGCGTCGGGGGCATGGTGTCCGGGCTGCGCTGACTCTCTCCCGCCGGCAGGTGCTGTCGTACGAGATGGGCTTCCTGGTGTGCGCGGCCATTGGCCTCCTCTTCATCCTCCTCATGCCCCTGGGCGGTCTCTGCTTCTGCTGCTGCCGGTGCTGCGGGCACTGCGGGGGCCGCAAGTACCAGAAGCAGGACGAGCGCACAGGCTGCCGGCGCCGCACGCTTTGCACCGCGCTGCTGCTGCTCTCCGGCCTGCTCCTGTGAGTGCCACTTGGCGTGCAGGGGTGGCATGGGGGTGCACGGAGGCTAGTGGGGGCTGCTGTGTGTCCCCATCTTTAAAAAAGGGAGAAGGGAGGACCCGGGCAGCTATAGGCCTGCCAGTCTTACCTCGATCCTAAGGAAATGCTTTGAGAAGATCATCATGGAGTGCATCTGCGATGGGCCGGCCTCAGGGATGATGCTCAAGGGCAACCAGCACGGTTTCATTAGGGGCAGGTCATGTCAGGCCAACCTGATTGCCTCTTATGATTAGGTCACAAAAGCATTGGATGCAGGTGTCGCCATGGACGTAGTTTTTCTAGACTTCAGCAAGGCCTTTGACACCGTCTCCCACCCCATCCTCATTAAAAAACTAGGCGACTGTGGCATAGATGCCTACACAGTCAGATGGGTTGCAGATTGGCTCAAGGGTTGCACTCAGAGGGTGGTGGTGGACGGGTCATATTCGACCTGGGGGGAAGTGGGCAGCGGAGTCCCCAGGGCTCGGTCCTGGGACCTGCGCTGTTCAATTTCTTCATCAGCGATCTGGATGATGGGGTGAAAAGCAACCTGTTTAAATTTGCTGATGACACCAAAATTTGGGGTGAGGTGAGCACGCTAGTAGGGAGGGAAAGACTGCAGTGAGACCTGGATAGGTTACAGGGGTGAGCTAGCAAAAACAGGATG